TCGCCATCATTTTACGATCACTACTCCAGTTGCGATGGTGGTGAACCAATGGCAGCATGGCGATTTTGGGTTACGGACGGTATCGTTACGGGAAGCAACTACTCGCAGCATGGCGGCTGCCGACCATATCCATTTCCACCGTGTGAGCATCACAGCAACAAAACACACTATCAGCCTTGCAAGCACGATCTTTATCCAACGCCAAAATGTGACAAGAAATGTATTTCCGGATATGGAAAATCGTATAAGGCGGATAAATATTACGGTAAGCAGTATGTCATTTGGGAGATATGCAGTCATGTGCCGATGAGTGTACCTGTTCGGGACAGCATGCTGCACGTCGGAGGACCGGCTATTCAACAAAAAATTTAGTCAAGTTTGTCTAATTTGACAGACTCTTTTACTGCAGTAGCGAAAGTGAGTACAAACTGGCAACAGGCAAATTAAGACTAAAACACCCTTCATCTCAATCCTTATTCTGATGATCCTGTCCGTTCCCAAAAAATCTTTGTGCGAATCTGTGTATCAGTTACTTATTTAAAATTAATGCCATGCTGCGGTAAAGCAGCAATGACTGTCATTCTCTGAAGCGAGAAAATGGAACAAACTGAAATTGCCTGATGTTGAATTTGATCATGTGGACGCTGTTGTAATGACCTGTAGAATAGCTAGGAATTGATAATTAGTGCTAAAACTTTAAACATTCAGTCCACGCGCATTTTTTTTTTCGTACGTGTGATATATCATGCATATTTCGCATCATCATAGCAGATGACTGTAACACAGCTCTGTGTAGGATTAGAATAATTGGCCACGCACGGACTGCCCGTACGAAGATGCGTTTTTTGCATAGCTCCCCGCAGATTTTTGTTGCTAACGGCACTGTTTTTTCCAGCAGATGCTTGTAGCTAAAATAATTTTAGACTGGCCGCCAGGGCTGTCAGGAAACATCTCTTCAAAATCCCAGTCTCTAGCTTCTCAGGTTCCCGAGTTATCAACTTACTCGAAAAAACTTTCGCAGGACCGTGCCACGAAAACCTGGGAGCTAGGTTTAAGCTCATTAATATCCACTTGGATGGGGAACATCCCCTTAAAATTCCAACCTTCTAGCTTCTCAGTTTCCCGAGTTAACAAATTACCCTAAAAAAATTTTGGCAAACCCGTAAGTGGGTGCCACTCATACCCGTGGGCTGGATATGAACTCAACGAGACCTAGGTGGGCGGG